TATAACCGGCAAGGTCTCTTTTTCTCCCAAGAACACATATTTCAAATGTTTTGGGAGTGACTTCATCTCAACTTCGGGGGCCTGCAAAATAGAAGGCAAAGGCTTTTCTTCGGGGATGGTTAGTGGAAATGCTCTTGACCCCGGTGGCATAAGTGGAAGTTGGAAATGGTTATCCAACTCCACCATCATGGCTTGTAAGTTGGGAGTCAACGCAAGTTATAGAGAATTGTCCCCGAAATCTTTCTCAATCACCCTCAACAATTCATCCTCTCCATTTATTTCAAAAGTGTTTTGTGCAAGAGGATCAATAATATCAATGGCAAACAAAGAATGATCTTCATTTGGGTATTTCATGGAGTCATAAATGTTGAATTCAACCTTATCTCCATCAAATTCCATTGTTAAAGATCCACTAAAAACATCAATTTTTGCTCTAGCGGTTTTTAAAAATGGCCTTCCTAAAAGGATAGGAACCGCATTTTTATCATTCTCCATTTCCAAAACATAAAAATCAGCGGGAAAGATCAAATTATCAACCATAACTAGTACGTCTTCGACAATACCTTTAGGATAAGCATTTGATCTATCCTCAAGTTGAATGACTACTCCGGTTTCATTTAGAGGGCCAAGCTCAAGTGATTTGAATAAAGAGTAAGGAATGACATTAATTGACGCTCCTAAATCTAGCATGGCTTTTGAAAACGTAGTACCTCCCAACTTACAAGGTATAGTGAACATGCCTGGATCATTGTATTTTTTGGGGAGTTTCTTTTGAAAGACCGCTGAAACACGTTCACTAACTTGGACTTTTTGTTTTCCATTGAGTCTATGTTTCCTTTTTATTGTACATAGCTCTTTAAAAAAATTTGCAAAGCTAGGAACACCCTTTATCAAGTTAAGGAGAGGAATATTTACCTCACATTTGGAGAATGTCTCATAGATGTCCTTATCCTTCTCCACCCTTCTTGTTTCCCTCAGAGCCTCGGGAAAAGGTGCTTCAATTTCTGGGATGATCGGCGTTGGATTTGAGGTTTGAGTTTTATCCTCCTCTGGTTGAGCTTTTTCTACAAACTCCTCTTCTTCCTCTTCTTCGCCAATGTGGCTCTTTGCTTTTTCTTTGGCAATAACCAACTCCTTGCCACTCCTCAATATGACCGCATGGGCTTGTTGCCTAGGATTCAGCTCTGTTTGAGATGGAAGCTTTCTCGAATCCTTGGCTTCGAGCCTACTCACCGCACTTGAGATTTGGCTCATTTGGTTCTCAAGGTTTTGTATGCTAGATTTTGTCTCATGTTGAAATTGAACCATGTTTTGTTGCATGGTTGAGACATTAGTGGTGAGTGCTTGGATCATGTCCTCGGTGGACATATTTGAGCCTTGGCCTTGGGGTTTAGAGTATGATTGTTTTTGAGGAAATTGATTTTGTGGAGGGTTATTTTGTTGTGGGTTTCCTTGCGGATTCCCATATCTCAAATTGGGGTGATCTCTCCACCCGGGATTATAAGTATTGCCATAAGAATCGTACCTCTTTTGGTTGGTAAATCCCAAAGCGTTGACTTGCTCGGTGTTGTCTTCTTGGAGAGTTGGGCATGAGTCGGTGGGGTGCCCTTGTTGTGTACAAATGCCGCAGACGTTGACTTCTTGGGTCTTGGAATTCAAAATAAAATCCTTAACCAAAGAAGTCAAGCCGGCAACTTGACTTTCCAATGATGATGATGATTCCGCCGCCATGACTCTTTTTGTTGATGATCGCCCATTGTGATGTCTACAATTCTCGGCCAATTCCGAGATAAGATTTATAGCTTGAGAAGGAGTTATGTTGACGATCCCCCCTCCACATGCGGCGTTGATCATCCGCCTATCATCATTGCAAAGACCATCATAAAAGTATAGGATGAGGTCTTGCTCCGAGTAGCCATAGTATGGACAGCTCGCACAAAGTTTCTTGAATCGTTCCCAATATTCGTAGAACGATTCATCATCTTTTTGCTCCACATTGCTGATTTTCTTTTTTAGAGATGAGGAGACAGAAGCAGGATAGTACCTTTCAAGGAAAGCTTTCTTCATGGCCGCCCATGTACCTATACTTCCCGAAGGAAGGTAGAATAGCCAATCTTTGACGGTATCTTTGAGGGAGAATGGAAAGGACCTCAATTTTATTTGTTCTTCGGTGACTCCATTGGGGCACATGCTTGTGCAAACAACATGGAACTCTGAGAGTTGTTTATTTGGGTCCTCCCCTCTTAAGCCATGGAAAGATGGAAGTAGATGTATGAGTCCAGATTTTAACTCAAATGTAGCACCCTCATCAAGAGTTCGAAAAGTGATACATAAGGGTTGTTGATTTAAGTTTGGAGCTGTGAGCTCCCTCAAAGTTCTTGTTTCGAGAGCCATAGTTATTGGCTCTTCGGTCTCGCTAGAATGAGAACTAGCGGCTGATGTATCTCCGGTAGATAATTCCTCCGAGTCGGCACTAGAAAATTTATTTTTCAACCGCTCGAAAGTTTGCTCTATTTCCGGGTTTGTTTGATATGTGATTTCGTTTATGGAACGATGTTTAACCATATACTTCACCAAGCTCAGAAATAGAAGAAATAAGAACTCTTTATATTTTTATTTAATATATTTTTTTTATGTTTTCTTGAAATACAATAAAAGAAAAAATAATTGTCTTTCCCCGCCAACGACGCCAAATTTGACGTGCACTTGTCGTGAGGTGCACTCAAAATAATTAATCAATACAACACTAATACGTAGTATAGTGAAGTAAGGTTCGTATCCACAGGGAAAGGAATACTTTTCTTTTATATAAATAGTAACAAGGGGGTTTTAAGTTTGATTTGATTGAATTTAATTAACACTAAGATAAACGACTTATATGAGTTTAATTTATAGAGATGAAGAGTATATCCACATCTTTATGAGGACTTATATGAGTAACAAGGGGGTTTTAAGTTTGCTTTTTTCCACTTAATGAAATGTTCGTCGATCCCGGTTATATCTTTAACTATCTTCCTCTTGAATACTCAATCGAGGAGTATATCCAGTTCATCGAGGGTAGTTATTAATAACGAGACGCGTTCATTAATAAAACTTACTACCGAGTTAATATAGAATAAGCGTCGTATATTAGCCCGATAGTAGCAATAAACTTAAGATGAAAACGATTGAGATTGATAACCTCAACACAAACGGTTTATTGGTTTAATCAATATAATTAATTCCCCTTAGATTATTAACCATGAGACGCATGCATTAATAATCCAAGTTTTACTACCGTTGAAAGAACCGAATTAATAACAAGCGTATTAATCGATTGATTCTAGTAATAATTAATATATGAAACAAAACTAGTTGATCCTTTAAGTAATGCTCAAAATATTAATATGGAATATGAATAGGAAATAATTAATATTCAAGGAAGAAGATTAAAGAAAATAACTCATAACTTACAAATTCATTCAGCTTCAAAGTAGCAAAACCAAGATGGAAGAGTTTAGCTCCTCATTGTGAGACAAAACATGAAGAAAATATAAACAAAGAGCTTGTCTAAACTGAGCTAAGAAGTATATGTTAATTGGTGATTTTTGTGGGAAGGTAAGGGGAGTATTTATAGGCTTTTTAGACTTGTAGAGTCGTGTACCCGATCGAGCTGTAAGGGCACTCGATCGGGTACTTGGTTGCTTCGCGGAAGTATAAAAACTGGGATACCCGATCGGGTATGTCGGCCACCCGATCGGGTATGAACACTCGATCGTGCCAAAATCTCCCCTGCATGTTGCCTTGTCCCGGATCCGATCCGATTTGATTTTTCAACAAGGTACCCGATCGGGTATAGGTCATACCCGACCGGGTACAACACCAAAAAATCAATCTTCAATTCATCTTGAGATTTTTGCACCTTCCTTCCATTTGTGATGTTCACCAATGGTTCCTAGAGTGATCTTGGACCTGTTTGAGCTCAGTATAAACCTAATCTAAACAAATTACAAACATTTTTACAAATTAAACTATTACACCAAAAGTGTGTAATTTCCAAGGTAATAATCAATCTAAACTAATAAAAAACATAAACGTAAGCATGGAAATTACATGAATGTCAACACATCTCACACAACCATTAAAAGATTGACGAAAAAATACATGTTTCGCCGGCGGTGAAATCCATACTTACCGGCAGGAGAAGCGCTGGCGGGATCCTTGTTCTTGTGACATTCAGTAATCAAAGGTGTGATTGGTTGGATTGTTAGGAAGATGAAGCTAAGGTTAGTGACAGTAGAAGATGAAAAGGTATGTATGGGCGAGTTAAGACCGGGAGAAAAAACGAAAAGGCTACCTGGAGTTTGTGGTTGAGACTTGAGAGTGAAAAAGAAAGGATAAGAAAGAGGAAGATGAAATATTGGAAGAGTATAACTGGATACACCAACAATCGTGATTGGGACGCAACAATTTTTTATCTAGATGGCGGTGGTATCAAACTTCTGTTAGCGGTAAGTTAACGGCGGTGAGTTTTTAAGCCTTGTATTGATAGATAGTAATCTTATAGGTCCCTTATTGATAGAATTATTCTTTCGGGTCCAGAACTGATAGTAAACTCAACTTTCAGGGCTTGGACTGATAATTTTTTTTTATACGAAGCTTTCCTATCTTGCCCTTTATATATCAAATTATAGATAAGAGTATATTAATCCTAAAATGGGAATAAAACATAGAAACTTCATAAAAGGGGAATTACCGGTGGGCATAGATCAACTGGTAGCAAGGGAGTGCCACAAGGGTTAGGTCCCGGGTTTGAAAACCGGTCACTGCGATGAGATGTTACTATGCTAAAAATGCAAATATAGGGCCTTTGCAAGTACCGAAGACAAAGTCTCACACTCTATAGATTGGGATTATAGTCCAATTTACATCCTGGCTTACAGATACAGATGGAGTGTGATATTTTTTTTTCGGGGAATGCTATACAAAACTTTTATATAGACTTTTTGACTAGGTTTTAGTCGCACTACAATTTCTTTTATAATTATCTAATGAAATGACGATGACTTTCGAACATCCCTCCCCCACCAACAGCCTCCGAGAAGAGGTATATATAAATTCATACACGGACTACTAATTATCCCAATTCTTATCTTCTCTATACTTAGCTTAATTATTTCTTTGATCTTTCTAAAACAAACATAGCTGCAGTGAAAAGGGACTTGGGGAGATGGGAAATTGTCTGAATAAACGGGGATCGTCATCCATGGTGTGGGCTGCAGAAGATGAAGAGGATGAGTGGGAATGGGAATCGCAAGAAAAGAAGACTCAAAAGACTGGCAATGGAAATAGCAGCAGGTTGGTTGTAGGTGGCGGAGGTGATGATAAAAACAGTAGCGCCGCCGCACCTTCTACGACGCTGAAGATCACAATCTCAAAGAATCAGCTGGAGCAGTTGCTTGGGCTGGTGAGAAAAGGAGAGAATAGTACTTGTAATAAAAAATATCAAATAATCTTAGCAAGATTGTTGGCGGATTCCGGTAGTAGTACTGATCAGCACGGCGGAGATATGGTGGTGCGCCAACGGTCATGGAGACCGCGTTTGCAAAGCATTCCTGAACTCAATTGAACATATTCGCCTATTCTTAATTCCTGTACATTATATATCTATTATTGGTGAGATTGTTATTTGTTAATTAGTTGATGCAGGTTGTCGTCTGTAACTTGAGCCCAGATTTATGAGTAATCTGATTTTTTTAATGCATGTTCGTATCGATTCTTCAAATTCATTGTCTAATACTACCTCTGTCTCAATGCAAGATCCACATGAGTTTGGTGAAGGTTTTAAGAAAAAAGAAATAAAGTGATTGTTTTACGATTTAATCTACAAAGAATAAGAAAGATAAAAATCAATTCACAAAAGGTAAACGATAAAATGCTACATAAAATGATAAAGTAAAAAAGTCAAAAGTTGGAATCCAATTTAAGAAAGGGAAATTATCCAAAATATGAGCAAATGACACTTGGAATTCCAAAAATAGGACTAGTGTATTTTTCTTCCCGAAATATGAGTTATTACTGTCATGTATGAAAAATACTGTCATGATTGAAAAATACGGTCATTAATTATAATGAATACTGTTATGTTAAATGCACTGTATTGCAACTATTTAGCAGTCACGACTACAAGATGATAGCAAATACTGCAATGTCAGTCCCATTTCGGGAATAAAAACAAAGTAGTCCTATTTTGCAATTTCAAACATCATTTACTCCTATTTTGGGAAATCTCCCTAAGAAAATATTACCCGAAATAGGACTAAAAAGGTTTGAAAATTCCAAAACAAGACTGCCATGTTTTTATTCCCAAAATAGGACTAATTACTGTCATGTTTTGGCAGTACCAGACTTCAAACATGGCAGTATTTTCTAAACTTAGCAGTAATTACTCCTATTTTGGGAATAAAAAACATGACAATCCTATATTGGAATTTTCAAACTGTTTTAGTCCTATTTCAGGAACTTTTCCAGTTTTCCAAAAGTAAAACAACAGATATCGGGAGAGCCAATTTTGTAGGCATTTCTATGAAAATAAATTGTCCGAGTCTAAAAGCAACATAGAAACACATATTATTCAGTTCAAGTAGGCAGTCAATCACACGTTTATACTCCCTCCGTCCCTTATAACTTTGCCAACTTTCCTTTTTTGGATGTCCCATTAACTTTGCCACTTTCCCTTTAAAACTTAAAGTAAAGAATTTGTAGTTCTAGTTCATTCTCTCTCCTCCGCACAAACCTTAATCACACAGTTTTTACTTTATTATTTCCCGTGCAGATCAAACTTGGCAAAGTTATTGGGGACGGAGGGAGTATATGATAAAAAGATTATCTAATCCAAGTCATACTTTTTATGGTAATTTCCAAACAACATTCAAAGGAAAAAGAAGTGGATAGAATCTAAAAATCTAGATTAAGCTGACTTTTTAAGGCAAGCTAAGTCAAATTACATCATCTTCACATTTAACAATTCAATGGTTAAATCAATTTACCCTTTGTTCACACCACATGATAGCAACAATAAAAAAAGATTAACAAGATCAAGCAAAAGTAATCATTGACTTGAATATAAACTCCACACTGCTAAGGCGCCAACTACTTACACCAGACCATGCATTCAAAGTTACATACACATATATACATAAACTAATAAAGCACGACACAAGAAATTTACAATGGAACCATGGGAATTAACAAACTCCAGCAAGCGAAAGCCCATTAACCCTCTTATTAATTACTACTATTAGGCTTTACTTATGATGATAAGAAACAAAGCCCATCACCATTGTGCAATTTCTAATGGAGCTTGTTAGCAAGATTGCATTGCTTTCTGATCTCGCCTTTGCTGCCGGTGAGAGGGTTGTTCTCAGAGAGAATGGTGATTGCTTTGGAGAACTGCTTAAAGAAGTAATCCTGATTCTTTGCCATTTTCTTCACGAATGGCTTCGTCCTCTTGTCTGTAGCCAGCTGGTGGTCCACAAGCATCAACCCCTTGTTTTCCAGAATGTTCTTGTAGTAGTTATTGTCTAGTTTCATGGGGGTGCCTCTGTCATTCCTCACATACTGTACTGCCTTCGGGTCTGGGATCGGGTCCGGGCACTTCTTGAGCATGTGTGGGACATGATCAGGGTTCAGCTGCGGATCCACCTCTGGGTATAATCTGTGAACCAGCTTCACGCAGTGGGTTCTTCCAACACTGTGAGCTCCTGTTTATTATTTTATCAAATACTTGATTTAAGAAATAATGACAAAGATTACACTACGATCACAGTGGTATCTGTGGAGTAACTGTGAGGACCATGGTGATGTTCAATTGTTCATAGCCTATCCATTATTTGGTCCTAGAAATCTGTTTTAGAAGTGCTCAATAATTTTCTTTCAACTTTTTCAGTAAAAGACCAGCTAGACTATATCAAATCATAACAAACCAAACCACTAAATTTGAGTGCTAATGAACTGTCCTTGGTTAATATTATATGGAAAATGCATAACATAAATTCTAAATAACTCTCAGAACCTAATGATTGTCTAACATTTATTAAAACATTAGTCCTTTTGTTCATATGTGATGATGATAAACACTCTTCAACAAACTATTGTATCAGTATGTATGTGTAACTACCTAGCAAAGCAACAACTCCAGGAGTTTTAATTCCAATGTTGGAGAACCTCTCAAGAACAACACTCATGCTTTCATTGTGATCGGGGAGGTGTTGCTCTAGAATAGCTGCTCTGCTCTTCCTTCCATCTCTTCTTCCAGTTTTTAATGAGATGTAAGGGCCTCCAAGCTTCAAAAAAGTTCATAACATACAACATAGTAATTAGAAGTTTAAAACCCATTAGTAAGGGTGAGAGTTTTGGTCATTTTTAGTTCTTTGAATATCGTGACAGTGATACTTTTGGTGCTCAATTTTGAGCTTTCCAACTTTAGTTCTTCAAATATTGTGAGAGTAGAAAAGTTCTCAATTCAAAGCCGGGTATCAAAAAATAGTTGACACGACATTTAAAGGACTCAGAGTAGAAAAGTTCTCAATTCAGTATAAAGATGCCACTAACATAGTAGTTGAAAAACTAAAATTGGTAAACACTCGCAAGAGTTATTTGGTCAAACACATCAACTTCTCTGAAACGAAAAGCATTTGATAACATCTACTTTCAATAAAATAAGCAAATGTGCTCAGTATTCTGCTCATGAGCAACAAACCGAATGTAATCAGACTATAAATCACAACCTAAGACTAATGCAACAATTGCAGGCAACCTGAAGATAGATTTTAATGCAACTTTTTTACCACTAAATCAAAAGCTTGAATCCAATTGATTATATAGTACAACAAAGCAGCTTACAGCATTAATGGCATCTCTAGCAGACAAGACAAGAATATCAGCACAAGAAACAACTCCAGGACACTCCCTCTCCACAGCTTCTTTTATGGTCTCAATGTACCTGAAATTCCTCATCCCAAAGCTCCGCCCCATCTCCTTTTCGGACAGAGCCCTCCTAGTTGAGTCCAGCAGCAGCGAAGCATCACATGACTGCACTCACAATGTCAAAACACAGGATATGATTCATGATACAAAAAGATCAAATCAATTTAAAAGATAGAATCCAATTGATTCTTGACATCTAAATATAAAATAAATAACCACCCTCTAAGTTGCAGCTTAACAATCACATGCCTGTAGTGTATCATGCAGTTAGCTTAACTCTCTTTTACCTTTTATTTTAGGGTATGATTAATTTTTATCATATTCAAATTCTCTTCTTGAGATTGAATAAAACTTTTAACTTTTTAAGTAGTTTCTGAATATGTAGATGTTAGTTAGTACTGCGTAGTACATTATAGACATTCAACCGATTTAAACCAAACTGGAAACCTTGAAATGGGACTATTAGTAATATATAAGCACTTGAGCTACTTCATAACAAAAAAATTTAAATGTGAATATGTTTATATGTCCTACTAAGAGGGTATGTGACTTTGTGGAAAAAAATGCAGGGTTGATCAACTTGATCCAAGAGTTAAAAAAAATCATTCTTTGATCTTTGAATGTGAGATTATCTTAAAAGAAAGAAAATAGATCCGGGTATCTGGAAACTGGAAAGAAGTACCTCAACAAAGCAGTCATGGAAAATGTTCCTGAGCCAAGAAAAGGCAGTATTCTTGTGACGCTTGTAGAGAAGTTTGACCTGCTCTCTGATGAGGTCTTCAGCTTGAGGGCAGGTGTCTCTGTAGAAGTTCAAAGCAAGGCCAGCAGATGTGGCATCCTGGGTATTGACTTCCGCCCAGGCAGAGAGATCCGATGATGGGAAGCAGGTGAGGGTTATGACTACGAGGAAGGAGAGGAGACGTATTGAAGAACCCATTTTGGTTGGTCGGCCCAAAATGGGCAATGCTGATTGATATTGATGTACTTTGAGACCAGGATAAGTCACTTGTGTGATCACATCTGGATGGAGAGGAGGGAGAATTAAAAGGAAACGTAAATTCTTTACATGAAAAGAAAATGACAAAGTTAGTGGAACATCAAAAAAAGAAAAATTAGTAAAATTTTAATGGATGGAAGGAGTATTTATTTATTCTATAAAGAGTAGACCTTTATTCTTCGGAAGAGAGTACAACTTTATCTTTTTTGTTTTATTTAAATGTTTCAAAAGGTTGAATCTTCAACTTTAGAGTTCCTATACTTTGGAGGATATAAGTTATGATGACTAGTCAATCCAATAATGGTAGATATTCATGCGCATCGGAGGTCTAGCTCAATACACAAGAGTTGCAACATTCACACGATCACTGTGAGTTTCGATTCTTAGTTAAAGATACATACTTGTTACAATTCAAGTGGAGCATGAAAACATCATTTTTTTATAATATCCACTGCCCGTTTAAACTTCCACGTATACTGGTATAGACACACTACTAAGGTGGCTTTTTGCTTTGTATAAAAAAAGAGAGTGATTTTCAATGTATATTTTGAAAATTTTATGTGTGATTTTGAGTGTTTTTGTTTAGCAACATTCAAATTGATTAAATCGATTAAAAATGCTAATATGGTCTCATACTTGTTTCATAGTACTTTCATATTTTGTTGAAGCTGTGTTTTTTATTTAAGGTTGTTGAACTATAAGTTATAATGTACTTTTATAAATTACATTATTAGTTCGATTAGTTAAAACTTCACAATTTTAAGCTGAAGACACACTTCTCACGTGATCTTTTCCCTATACATATAGCTCTATAGGAGGCGAATCTGGAACAAAGTAGTCTTATGGTGCAAAAATTTGTACCATACATCTTTATGTTATTTCTATTGCATATTAATGTTCAAAGTGTTGAATTTTATTCTATGATTAAACAATCTTGTATATTACGGTTTAAAGTGTTGGATCTGATTTTTTTTTGTTTTATTAACAAAATGCTATTGTGCGTTTTAAATCATTGGATCTTTCAAATGGTTGACTGAGATTAGTTTGTATTTTATAAATTAAAAGCACTTTGTATTTTATCCTTTGTATGCACACACACATATAATTGTCTGTGTAAAATAAAGTGTACAAACTAATCAACAGACGTATAAAATAAAGGGAAAAATAGAAAATAATAATCTCAACAATTGTCGGTCCGCTAACAATAATCCCAACTATTGATTATTTTTGTATAATCCCAACTATTGATTATTTTTGTATAATCCCAACTATATGGACCGTTCGTCAATAATGGTCCATGACCGCATATTACCCGCTCTAACAAGTGACATTTTAATAGAAATTAAGCGTAAAAATTAAAATTTGGGATTATTTATAGGGATTACATGTTATATCTCTTTGGAAACTATATGAATTTATTTATAGTCGGTCACGTCGAATCATTATTGACGGAATGTCCTTAAAGTTGGGATTATTCCGAAATAATCGATAGTTGGAATTATTATGAGCGGACCATCAATAATTGAGATTATTATAATCAATTTTTCCTGAAATAAAGTGTACAAAAAAATGAGTCCAAAGCATGTTTAACAACCCCAAAATGAAATGAAACCCCAAACCGTCAAGAAATCTTATCCACAAAGGCACAAACCTCATCCAAAATCCAAATGTCTTCATCCCCACTCCTCCACCTCTCGTTCCAATTCCAAAAATGCCGTCCATCCTACATACAACCAAAATCTCATCTTCCCACAGAGCTTTTCTGCAAGCTAACTCGGGAGTGTAATTAATCATGTCATGCTCCCACCCCGCAATGCTTCTGTCGTCCACCCACCCCTCTCCTTCCTCTTCCCTCTCTTTCGCCTCCTCTCTCAACCCTAACCACCTCCCTGCCCATAACTCTTCTCCACTCCCCTGCCCCACACCGAGACCGTCGATTCGATGCGACCTCCGCCAGCTCCGAGATCGCATCGTTTCAGTGAAGAACACGGGGAAGATCACGGAGGCGATGAAGCTGGTGGCCGCCGCCAAAGTGAGGAGAGCCCAAGAAGCTGTGGTCAACGGCCGGCCGTTCTCTGAGACCCTCGTCGAGGTTCTCTATAACATTAACGAACAGCTCCAGCAGTCCGATGCCGTGAGTGAGATCCCTCTCACTCGTGTTAGGTACTAGGACATTAATTAGTTAATTAATTGCAGGGTCGTTAATAATCTCAACTATTTATGAGCTATCGACTCATAATAATCCCAACTATCAATTATTTCATAATAATACCAATTTTAAGGACCTTCCGCCAATAATACTGACTATAAATAAATTCCTATAGTTTCTAAAAAGATATAACAGATAATCCCTATAAATAATCCAGAATTTTAATTTTTACGCTTAATTTCTATTAAAAATTCACTTTTAGAACAGGTAATATGCAGTCCCGAACCATTATTGTTGGACGTTCCATATAGTTGGGATTATACAAAAATAATCAATAGTTAGGATTATTGTTACCTGATCTAAATCCTTGATCATAATCCGTTCTGTTACAATATGTCAATATTATTATATCTATAGAATTCAAAATGAATTATTATTTCAAGATATAATTAAAATAAAGAACTGTCAATAATGATACTAATTGTGGCCCTTCAGCCTTCAATAATCCCAATAATTACGCTGACTTGTGTTAAACTGGTACATAAATTAACTAAAGCTGAATCACTTACCTTTCTTTCCTTTTGAATCATTTTGATATATTGAATTCACAATATACATATATTTAAATTCACTATATATATAAATATATAAATTCACTATATATATATACATATATATGTGTGTGTGTCTATATATATATATATATATATATATACACACATATATAAGTTTTGGTTATATTAGGAAAATTCTTGAAACAAAGAGTAATTTTTTTTTGTATATATAAGTAGACGGTTTGTGAATCGTGCGGTTCATGCTTTGGCAAGGGCACATGATGTTTTCTCAGATCAGAGGATTAATTATGATGGTATTCCTCACTATATTGTAAGCCAGTTGGCAAACGATTTGCTGATTTAATATAATTTTCAGTTTTGATGATAAAAAAAATATGTAAGTTTTGGTTCAAATAAGAATATTATCTTGGAAGAAAAATGAGAATGAATCTAGACCATTAGATTTGCTTTAAGTGAAATTCAGTGTGCATTACATGAAACTGTAATGTGCATTATGTGAAATTGAAATGTGCAGCACAAAGGATACGATACAGTGGCATTATGTGAAGTTGAATTGTGCAATAGGTGAAATTGAAATGTGCACTACGTGAAACTGAAATGTGCAGAATAAAAGGTACGATGTGATGTTATTTTGTACCTTTTTCCCCGCACATTTCAGTTTTACCTAATGCACACTTGAGTCTAAATTTTTATTCTGCACATTTCAATATCATCTCATCCTCATGCACATTTCGGTTTCACCAAATGCACAATTCAATTCCACATAATACAATCAAACGGTCCAGATTCATTTTCATTTCTCTCTTGGGAGTCCGTTCTTACCGGAACCGCTCCCTATATATATATATGACTCACTAGGGTGAGGTTCGAATAGGAAAAAGCCTTTCGGTGAGAAATGAGAATGAATCCTCGTTGTCGGATTCGATTATGTTGCATAAGAAACACTTTATATTGCACTGAAATATGCAATCTAGCGCGATGACATTTTCATAAATATTTCTGAAAATATATATGTATTACATTTGTGTACTTCAATATGAAGTTGTTTTGGTACATTGTCTTCGAATGTTCATGCAATATGAAACAGTTTCAGTGCAACTTACATTGCAAAATTTAAAACTGAATGCAACATGAAGCTGTTTTTAATGCAATATCATAAATCTAACGGTTGATATTCATTCTCATTTATCACATTAGATGCATTTCTCAATTGAACCAATATAGAATTCACAATATATATGTGTGTGTATATGTATTATTTTGTAGGGTTTCTAAGGAAAGAAACCCTTCCATAATTCTCTAAGACTTAGGATGAACATAAACCAAAGAGGGGGTTTAGAAATAGTTTTCAACAAGCAATAGACGTGCCTCAGTTATTACCTCATCATTGCCCCAAGTGCAAAAATATAATTTAGTTTACGTGAACCAATGCTATAGGTACAATAGAATACGTAGTATAATGTAGGTGGCTAATAATTTTAAAAGTAACTTTTTGAATAGTTCATATTTGAAATTAATTTAAAATGTATTGGTAATAGCTTGAATTCTTCTTCTCATTTTCTTCTAAAACAAAATTCTATAATACTACTACGTACTTGGTATTTTTCATCTCTTGATGTATAGAGAGACTATAGTCTGACCTTTCTACCCAAACCTTTTTAAATCTGAACTTTTATTTTTTCATAGTTTATATTTTGAAAACTCATCATATTCTAAGCTTTAAAGTTTAAATATTTATAATTATGTTGATAGATGAATTGAGAATAATTTACTGCTATTGAAATTCTATCTGTAAAATTTTATTATCACACATTACCTTAAAAGGGCTAGAATATTTCTCTAAATAGGAGTACTATCTATCTTTTAAAGTACACCAAACCATATTGTCATCTTATATGCTAATAGCATCAAGGTGATGATAAATCCCCCATCTCCGGAAATCTCATTATTATTTGGAGAATACGTAAATTTAGTCACGTAGCGGATGTATGTGTCCAGTCTTCTTTTTTGCCGTAAATTTGTATTTTCGGATGGAAAAGTCCTTAAAATTGACAAAGCTCGTAGTTATAAAAGGAGGAAAGTGTGAGTTTAGTACATTAAATTGTAAGCGGGAGAGTAAAGAGTACATCATTTTGCAAGTGTGATTGAGAGGTACATGAAATCACCAAATCAGTGTTAATTGAGTCCATCTGTGTATTAGAACGTTTAAAACGCCTAGGTGGCAAAAGGATTACTGATATGGCAAAATAAAAGCCTCATCAGCTAACTTGGTGTTAGCCTTGCGTAGCCTCCTCGGAACCACCAACAAATCGTTGACTCCAACGGAGAAGGGAAACTCCTGCTTGTTATTGAGGACGTGAGTGATGGCGGCCGCCGTTGGGTTATTCATGGCCACGTCACCTCCCACGGCGGTCGTCCTCGTCCTGCCGTCCACCGACATAAGCTCAAACATCGGCCATCAGGAAGTCGCACGTGTCCATTTCAAGCGCGTCGGCACGTGAGAACAAGAATGGAGCTCCAGTGGTGAGGTCTTAGCAGGGGATGGGAACAGATTTCTTGAAGACTTTCTTGAACAGCTTCGACAGCTTGAACACTCGTCGGAAAACCCCACTCTGCTCCGGCTTCGAAATCATCTGCCCATTTTCCAATACAAATCTGAGAGCTTCTCCGGCAGTCAACAACGGGGACCCGTCTTTCCCGCGCATGAACAAGAAACTGGCGAGGACCCCTCTGGTCCGGAGGCATCAATGGAGAGGATTCGGACCTTGCCGATGCCGGGAAATGATGACATCACCGACGGAGCACTACTCCTCTGGTCGTTGCACCCGAAAAGAAACTTGTTTTCAAGAATGGAAAAGATCTGATTGGTGAGGTTGTCAGCCTCAAAGGTGGAGTCAAGCATGAAGATTGTGGAAACGGACGCCATTGTAGTACTGATCGGAGAAGATGGAAGAGAGTATAGAGGTTTGATGAGCTGGTTGAGCTGGAAGAGCTGATGAGGCAGGAGGCTTGGCAAGCTAAGGGTGACATCAAGTTAGCCATATCACTAATCCGTTTGCCATCTAGGCATTTTAAAAGCTCTAATACCCCGATAGACTCAATTAGCACTGATTTGGCAATTTCATGTACCTCTAAATCACACTTGCAAAATGATGTACTCTTTACTCCCCCGCTTACAATTTGGTGTACTAAATTGACAATTTCCTCGTTATAAAAGACACTAGACTAAATCTTCAAATCTACCTTATTATTTGTAATATATTACTACGTATTATTAATTAAACCCCGCATACTAAACATTAATAATAAAATACTCTCTTAATCATTAGGCCGGTAAAAAAGGTTGCTCTAGTGGTTATCACCGGGGACCGTGGACTCTGCGGCGGATTCAACAATAGCCTCATCAGAAAAGCTGAGACCAGGATTTCTGACATAAAGAGCCTTGGGATTGATTACACTGTGATAAGTGTGGGTAAAAAGGGAAACTCCTACTTCAGCCGTAGACCCCACATTCCTGTGGATAGGTTTCTCGACGGCTCTTCTCTCCCCACCTCTAAAGATGCCCAGGCGATAGCTGACGACGTCTACTCGCTCTTCATCAGTGAAGAGGTGGACAAGGTTGAGCTTCTGTACACAAAGTTCGTATCTCTGGTGAAATCAGAGCCGGTGATTCAAACGTTGCTCCCCATTTCTCCTATAGGGGAGGTCTGCGATATCAACGGGAAGTGCGTGGATGCAGCAGAGGATGAGTTCTTCAGGCTGACGACGAGAGAGGGGAAACTGACAGTGGAGAGAGACGTGAGGAGGCGAGAGACACCGGAGTTCTCGCCAATCATGGCGTTCGAGCAGGACCCGATTCAGATACTGGATGCGTTGTTGCCTCTGTATCTGAACAGTCAGATTCTGAGAGCGCTGCAGGAATCAATGGCCAGTGAGTTGGCTGCCAGGATGAGTGCGATGAGCAGTGCGACTGACAATGCTAATGATTTGAAGAAGACACTGTCTATATCGTATAACCGAGAGCGTCAGGCGAAGATTACCGGTGAAATCTTGGAGATTGTTGCTGGTGCTAATGCCTCTGTATAATACTCGTATATCATTCTTATCATTATTGCATGCTTCCAGGGGTTGATGATGATACTCATATATTTTATCCTCCATTTCATACAAATGGTTTGCTCGAATACATGAGAAGATGATGTATTAATTGATAAAGATTATGGGGATAGAGCTTAGCTACACATAATGTATATGTCCAGATTTTTTTATCTGGAATTTGTAAGACATGAAATAATGATAAGTCCTTGAGTTAATTGTTTGAGACAAGAGAATTCGTTAATGAAGGTTAATGAAGACAATACCTCTAGTATTAGTGTGAAATAGCCAAATAAGGCCACCAAACTTTAGAAAGTTACACACAGGTTGTAAGAGGGTATTGACAAACAAATATCTTTTGCAAGAGGTTGTGGCATATACCTCTTAGATTTCTCTTTTGATGGTTGGAAGAGGGTTTTGACATATATCAATATATCATATATGCTCGTAAAGCTGTAGACCGTTTATTATTGGGGTTGATAGGTGCTATTTAAAAACAAATATGAAGGGGAGATTGCTACGAGTGATCTGACGATATGCCCAGTAAAAAAATCATTTGAGATGGTGGGAAGAAAAATAGATACGATAAAAAAGATACTAGAGCATATATAGTGGTTATAGAGGGCTGTGCTTTTTAGTTTTTATTTCTAGGTTTCCTAGCTATCAGGCTATCAGCTATGTGATGTTTAGAAGAACAACCTTTTAAATCTTTTAATTTAGCATATAGGGGTAGTACTATTTTGGTTGCTAGAGAAACCAAATGTGATTATGTGATCATTTGTATTACGGAATATGTATGTAAAGAATAAACCTATTTGATTGATACACTTAGATGTATGCCATTTTGGTGGCAACATGAAGCATTGCCTAGGGATGGATTCGGGCTGGGTAAATCGGAGCGAACCGGACCGAACCGGACCGAACTGAACCGGACCGGACCGGCACTATTCATAACCGGCCTGACCCGCTGGCCCGGGTCCAGGCCGGGTGAATTATACCCGAACCGGGTATTTCCGGGGCGGGATCCAGGTCGCCAAAATAGGGAACCGGCCTGGTCGGGCCCAGTCCGGGCCTCAACGGTCAAATTTTAATTTTTTTTAAAAAAACTAAATCCGGCCAGCTCCTCCTAGCTGTTGGGAACACTCCCAAACGGCTCTATAGCCTTTGGAGGGCTGGGAGGGGGTCCGGGGAGGTTTGGGGGTGGGGTATAAAAAAAATCTATAAATACTCCTATTTTCTAAACAATTTTCTACACATCTTCTCCAACTCTTCCTACTTATATTTTTTCATCTTCATCTTCTCCAATTCTCTCTACATATTTTTATACAATTATTATATCTACTTATATATTAATTATCTACTTATAAATACATATATTATATTACTAAAATTTATCATCTACTTAATATATACTTCATATTTACTTAATATCTACTTATTATCTACTTATTATATTATTGTTATTTACTTATATTTACATATTACATCTACTTAATATATACTTATATATTATACATTATAAACATTATATTGTATATTAGTTAAACAATTATTATATCTACTTATATACTTATTATCTACTTATAAATGCATATATTAAGTATATATATATGGACTGAGTAATCTAGTGCAGGAGACAGTAATGGATATGCTACAAGAAACCATGATTCTTACAGAGGAGCCAAAATCTATATCTAAACTTATTTTTGAATCCCAAATTCAAGAAGCATACTCAGAGAAACAAAATTCTCCTGCTCCAGTAGAGCGGCCCTGCCTGTCCAGACGTACTCGGACGCATCTGATACTTTTTACCAATCAGATGATTCTGATTTCACGGACGACTTTCTGGGACATGCCACTGAAAGCGAGCGTCGTCCTCCTATCTCAACTCCAGAAGAAATTAAGAAATCAAAATTCAATAGGGCAATCTGCATAAAATCCAAGTTTGTCACCTCAAAAAATTGCTTGCCGACGGAAAACTTAAACACGCAGATCAAAATCTACAGGAAATCCCAGAAAAATAAAAGGCGGCACAACATGACTACTAGGTCTCAGGCCAGAGAATTTCCTTGGGTGTAGTTTTAGTTTTTACTCTCTGTATGGTTTTATTTTCTTTTTTCATTTCTTTTTCTCTATACTGTTTACTTTTCCTTTTCAATAAAATTCCTCTTATCTCCAAAAAAAATATTAAGTATATATATATATATATATATATATATATATATATATATATATATATATATATATATATATATATATATATATATATATAAGATACATCTTGGTGAAACAAGCAATAAGAACCAAAAGGGAATGCTATAAGAAATTGGGCAAAAGTTGGAGCGACGAGAACATAGAGGAGTACAGAGAGGCTAGAAGAAGAGCAAAGAAAGCTGTGAAGGAAGCCAAAGCAAAAGTGAATAAGGAATTGTATGTAAAGTTGGATTCTAAGGAAGGAGAAAAAGATATCTACAGACTTGCTCGCCTTCGTGACCGTAGGACTCAAGATATTTTGGAAAAGTTAAGTGTGTGAAGGATGTCGATCAAAGGGTACTAATGGACGACGAAGAAATAAAAGAGAGGTGGAGGTCATGCTTTGATACCTTGTTCAATGGGAATAAAGTCCAAGGTATTGATGATCTTACTATACCAGAGTGTATAGTAAATAGGGACTTCGTGAGAAGGATTCAAACAACAGAAGTTAAAGAGACTATGAGAAAAATGGGTCGGAAGAAAGAAGTGGGCCCAAATGGCATACCGATCGAGGCTTGGAGATGTTTGGGAGAGAAAGGCATCGAGTGGCTAACACGTTTCTTCAACATGTTTTGGAGAAACAACAAAATGCCAGTGAGTTGGCGGAAGAGTACTCTCATTCCCTTATTTAAAAATAAGGGTGATGTACAAGAATGTACTAACTATCGAGAGATAAAGCTTATGAGTCACACCATGAAACTTTGGGAGCGAGTGGTTGAGCAAAGACTTCGTAAAAGTGTGAAAATTTCGGAGAATCAATTTGGTTTTATGCCTGGACGCTCAACAACTGAGGTCATTCACCTTCTTAGACAAGTTGTGTAGAAGTATAGAGACACTAAAAAGGATCTGCATTTGATGTTCATTGACTTAGAAAAGGCATATGATAGGGTACCTCGAGAAGTTCTTTGGTGGGCCTTAACTAGAAAAGGCATATCACGTAAGTATATCAACATCATCATGGATATGTATGATGCTTGTACTACAAGTGTCGCACTAGTGTAGGGAGGACCGCAGAGTTCCCTATTACTATCGGAGTGCACCAAGGATCTGCTTTGAGTCCTTTCTTATTTGCTATAGTCATGGATGAACTTACGAAGTCAATTCAAGAAGATATACCGTGGTGCATGATGTTTGCCGACGATATTGTATTGATTGATGAGACACAATCCGGTGTTAACGCAAAGTTGGAAGTATGGCAACAAACATTGGAGAGCAAGAGTTTCAGACTGAGCCAAAGCAAGACTGAGTATATGGAGTGCAAGTTCGGTGGAGGTAGAAGCAGTAGCAACAGCGGGATTACTCTTGATGGTAAGGAGATACCGCTGTGTGATATGTTCCGTTACTTGGGATCCATAATTCAGAAGGATGGTGAATTAGATGGAGATGTATGCCATAGAATCAAAGCTGAGTGGATGAAATAGAAAAGTGCTTCAGGAATTGTATGCGATCGAGGTATGCCGACTAGACTGAAAGGTAAATTTTATCGTACAACAATTAGGCCGGCATTAATGTATGGCGTAGAGTGTTGGGCGGTGAAGCAATGCCATATTCAAAAGATGAGTGTAGCAGAGATGCGTATGTTGCGTTGGATGTGTGGAAATACCAGAAAAGACCGCTTGAGGACTGAGGTAATCAGACAAAAGGTGGGAGTAGCACCTATAGAAGATAAGATGCAAGAGTCTCGTTTGTGGTGGTTTGGGCATGTGCGTAGAAGACCGAGTGATGCACCTGTTAGACGACTTGAGGGGTGGGGAGAAGAGTTAGAGAAGAGAGGGAAGGGAAGATCCAAATTGACTTGGATTAAAGTAATCAGAACTGATATTCGTCTTCTTGGGTTGGATCAGAGTATGACTTTGGAGAGAGCGAAGTGGAGGGCGCGCATCCGTGTGGACGATTGATGTCTTGTTTACCTTTCCTCTCTTTTTTCTTTTATCGTTTATCTTCCTTATCTTTTTATATTTTTATGTTATTTTTATCTTCTAGCTTTTTTATGCTCTTTTATTTTTTTATCTTTTATCTTTGTTATATTCCCGTGTTATTGTTATCTTATATTTATTTATCTTTATTTTATTCATTTTATCTTACTTTTTTTTCCTTTTCTTGTCCGTCTTCTCTTTTTGGCATCGATATCATAGATCGATTCATGTTAGCCGACCCCAAATTCTTTTGGGATTAAGGCTTGGATGTTGTTGTGATATATATATATATATATATATATATATATATATATATATATATATATATATATATATATATATATTAAAGTATTAATTCTAAGCGTACTACTCATCTTATAGTAGTATACTTATATATTATATACTATAAACAATATATTATTTATTAGTTACACTTTAATTAATAGTAATTAAACTCATCCTATTACTTATGCACTCACACTCCCATTAATTTAGTTTATACATTCATACATTATTTGTTATTAATATTTGTTAATTAGTTAATTGGTACATTTCTCATTTTCCTATTAGTTCATTGGTATATTTGTCACTAAAGTATAAAAGTTGTTAATTGTTACATTTATCATTTTCGTATTAGTTCATTGCTATATTTGTCATTAAAGTATAAAAGTAGTTAATTGGAAGTTGTTACATTTCTCATTTTTCAATTAATTAAAGTCACACTTGTTAGACAACAATTAGTTTACTAGTTAGATATTTTCGTAATAGTTCGATTTTATTTTAAAAAAATAGTTCAATTTTTTTCTTTTTTTCTTTTTTTTTCTTTGTTTTAGCAGCAAGCAACATGATCATGTGGAGCAGCACTGCAACAGTAAGGTCTAATTACACTCAACATTATTCAAACCCTACACTAAAGCGTAATCACCATTAGCATACATACAGCTTCTAAACTTTGTCTTTAAAAAATAAATCGTAATAACCAAATCCCAACAAGCAACAACGGTTGTACATAATATAAACCAATCAGATCAGATCAACCACATTCATCGGCATTTCATCAATTTTTGTGCTGTAATATTGCTCCATATCTCTCAG